AAAAAAAAAAAAAAAAAGAAAGGAGATGGCCTAAGCATTGACTCAATTAAGTCCCATCCTCACTCCTGAATTTCGACTCCCATCTCCTACCCTATGCCATTGTGTGCTTTAGTGCCATTCCCCTCTGTCCATTGCCGGGCTAGGAGAGTGAGAACGGGGTTTATGAAGTGAATCAAGTCTGTGGCCATTGCTTAAATACCTCTGGCTGATGTTTTGGGATAACTCAGACATGATGCTGAAAGTATAACAGTCTCTTTTTTTTTTTTGGCATGTCTTAGGCTGTGGAAGAATGTGACCCATACTGTGGCCTCTTAAATGACACTGAGGACAATCCTGACAACTATGGTGATGAAGAGGATGATGGGTTGGGGTGTCCAAACAATCGGGACTTATATTGGTCAGAGGAAGATCAAGAGCTCATAATCCCATGCCTTGCACTCGTGAGAGCATCCAAAGCCTGCCTGAAGAAAATCCGGATCTCAGTGGCAGAGAATGGGAAGAAAGATCAGGTGGCCCAGCTGGACGACATTGTGGATATTTCTGATGAGATTAGCCCTAGGTAAGCGGCATCCCCACTTGAAACATGTGAGCAGCAGCATATCTTAGCTTGTGCTGTCACCCCAGGCTTTTCCCCCAGTTTTTTATTTTGAAAATATTCAACCTATAGGAAAGTTGAAAAAATATTGTAGTAAACACCCATATATCTTTCATCTAGATTCACCTGTTGTTCACACATTGTTTTCAATATTGGTTCATTTCTCTATGGATAGATGTGCCATTTTCCTCCTGAACCATTTGAGAGTAAGTTGCAGACATCAATGACATTTCACCCCTAAATACTTCAGCACTTATCTCCTAAGAACAGACATTCTTATTATTACATCCAAGAAATTTAACATTGAATAGAATAATAATTAATATTCAGATTTCCCCATTTGTCTCTCAAATGTATTGTATAGCCTTTTTTTTTTTTTTTTTTTTTTTAACCCAGGGTTCTGTCACAGTGTCACATTACATTTGGTTGTCATCTTTGCAGTCTGGTTTGGTTGTAGTCTCTTGCAACTCTAATAGTCCCTGTCCTTTTTAGTATTTTTTGACTTTGACTTTTTAAAGAATCTAGGTCAGTTGTCTTGCAGAATATCCAAAAAGTCTGAATTCATGTGATTGTCTTTTTCATGATTATAGATTATATTCAAGTTAAATATTTTTTTGGCAAGGATATCACATATTTGAGTGTTTTGTGCTTCTCATTGTATCATATGGGGGAGGCACGTAATGTTAGTTTGTCCCATTATTGGTGGTACTAAATTTCATCACTTGGTTAAAATATGCCCACTTGAGTGGCGTTCCATGGATAAACTCCACTTGCATCAGTTATTAAATTAATGGTTTCAGATCCTCCCTTTTTTTTTTTTTTTAACATTTTTATTTATTTATTTGACAGAGAGAGAGACAGCA